GTACTTTCCTGATAACCACATGGATTTTTTGTTAGTTAAAAATAGTTAAGTAAAAAATGTTACAATTGACCCCACTCTCTCCTATATGTTACTCATAAGGTGAGTTAAAAAACCAGTCTGTTTTTTTATTTTCCTGTCAAAATTTCCCGTAACGATATAATGAAATAAGTTATGGATGTTTATAACTTTTAAATTGTATTAACAATTTAAATTTCTTCAGCCATGAAGATTTTTTTTATTCAACCTATTAAAATTATTCCAAAAGAATATAATGTAAGAATAATTTCTCATTCGAATTGAATTTTACGGCAAAAGTAGAACAAAAAATAATAAATAAATGGAATATTCATTTGACCCTTAAATTTTTATTTGTCGTTAAAAGGTTTGCGCCATTTTAAATTTTTTAGAAAGATATCGCTGTTTAAACTTTTGAAGAAAGTTTATTACTCAGAGTTAAACGATAAATGCTTTAGAATGAATTATTATAATTTTGACATCCCTCATAAGGCTATAAAATAGACATGCTTAATAAAATGAGTCTTTTTTTTTTAAGCATCGAACTCATTTTTCGTTTTCTCTCTTCTAACGTAATTATAAAAGTAAGTATAAAATTTAAAAGGTAATTACAAATTGATGCTTATAGAAATACTACCTATAAATAAGCAAATATAATGAGGAGATTTAATTTAACAGAAACTTATAAAAAGAAAATTTAGACGTTTTTGAAAAAAATTGATAGTTTGAATACATATTTAGGTGAAAACAAAATAATACTACTTATAATTTGGTGCTCTTACACTTTGCTTATGCATGTAATGTATGTTAGCTATACGTTAGAACAGAGAGCAAAAAGAAAACATTGTTCTGTAATTATTTTCTTTTTATTTCGCATACAAAGTGAAAAGTAGTTAAAAGGGTTGACTATAAATATGTTAATTATTCAGTGCTAACTATTAATTAAGCTACAAAATCAGTCACACAAACGAACTTTAAGTAAATATACTTATTTTTTAATTTAATTGCAAATTCGCTTAGACTTACAGAAAAGAATATTAAATCGCCTTAAAAATATTTACTGTTAAAGTTTTAACGAACAATTACTCATGTCTTAACACCCTTTAACGAAAATATTAAAATATATTAAACTTTATATCATTGTATAGTGTAAGCATTTCTCACGATGGTTGTATAGTATGTACGATAAATTAACAGTTTGCTTTAATGACAATAAAAGTGAATAATATAAATTGATTTTATTTAAATCTTTCTTTTCTTTTTACTTTCATTTTTTTTCTTTTGCAACGCTGCCAGCAAATAGCACTTATAACACAGCCAATGGAAAATAGCACTTATAACACATTTTGTAAAATAGCACTTATGACACAGCCAATAATAGTCATTGATAAGGAATATAGTAAAATCATCATTATTTTATTTATTTTTCTATAATTCAACTATATTTATAAATGGATACCTGCAAGTGATGTCATCATAAGAAAATCGTACCATTTGTCGATTCAGGAGCCAATCAGGTTCGACAAACGCGTGTGATGTTGCTTACAGGTATCCAATTAAATCTGGTTAGGCATATTATCTCACTTTTTCTCCAGTTTCAACAACCCAATAGAAAAGATAGACCTTAAAATTAAATCTCATTTGAAAGAGATAGAGATACAGAGTTTATTTATTTATTCTTCATATTCGTACGTATGGATAAAATAGGCTATCACAAACCTAAAATAGTACTGTTTCAAATCCACCAGGCACATGTTCTTCGTTTTAATGTCTAATAGATTAAATTAAGAATTTAGTAGCCTGTACAGTACTAGTATAAGACTAACTCTAAACATAATTATTAATTACCTTCATATTGTAGAGTTGACAGAAATAAGTTTTAATGTGAGTTATGCATATAATTTAATTTCAAAACTTAACATATAAATCTACAAACAGAAAAACAAAATTATATCGCATCTGTAAAATAAACTTTCTTTAATCACCAAAAGCATCAAAGTACAGACTCAATTTCGAGCTACAGCAAAAATCAATTCGCGAGAAAGTCTACTCTATTTATCTATTTGTAGTTTCAACAGGTACGGAGCTAGGTGACAATATTTTTTTTTAGAAAATTTCTCATTGTGTGTGTATATAGATAATTTTTATCTGAAATTTTTTTTTGTGGGATCCCCTAAAACCCCTCCGTTCATGAGTTTCAAACCCTACTGAGAAAGCAAGACAGTCTTCAATATTTTGATTTAAGCAATTTAGCATTCGCGGGTAAAACCACAAACATTTCAACATTCAGCATAATATCAATAAAGTAATTTATTTTAACAATATGGTTAATGTGATACGGTTAGGTTAAGGTTAGGTAAGGATTATACAGCCCAGCTACCATCTGATTTGACTAACTGAGAAGTTTTTAAAAAATACCCAGCGAAGGAGCGTTTGCCTTGACTCTTGACTCAGGAGATTTTTTTGTTTTTTGAGTAAGGAGCAAATATGAATGCGTAAAGACTAAGATACTCATCCATTTTATGGATTGAATATGAGCGATCCTGGTGATGAGGTATTTACAACTTTATATATATATTTTTTATTCTATTTTCAGGAAGCACACTAATTTGCGACTGCAAACTTCGATGGATCATCGAATGGGTGAAAAAATATGATCTCCAAGTAACGAGCCGAGAAAGGAATCCCCAATACTGTGGAAGACCATCCACCTTTCGTCGTCGAATCCTGCCGCAGATGTCACCAAGTGAACTAAAATGCGACGAGGAAGCTACACCAAGCACAACAGCTTCCCCAATACCAGCATTTACCCAAACCCAGGCTTCTCAACAACGTCCAACAGCCACACCTACAGGACGAGATCTGAGAGCTCCTAGGACCTCATCCTTGGATCAACTACATCTCAGTGAGGTGATCAGGAGAGGTACAGAATTAACCGTCAAATGGGAAGGTTTCCGAGAAGACAATCTAGTCAGAGCCAGATCTGCAGCTCCGATTCATGCGATGTACAGAGTTTTTGGTGAGCCACATTTCCAATTGGGTACCTCAGCCAATCCCACTTCTGGTTGGGCTCAATTCCAGGTACCTGAAGGCAAACCAGTAGTCATCTGCGTTGTTGACACAGCTCAAGCAGCAACCCTTTCTTCTACTGCTATACCTCGTAATCAGTGTAACGAGGTTACAGCCGAAAAAGTTACTGATTCTCAACTGAATAAAATCATCATCGGCTCTTCTGCAGCTGTATGTGGTATGATCGTTATAGCTGTTATTATATTCGTTTGCTGTTCCAGAAAATCTTCGAAGAAACAGGCTATGCCCCGACCAGCAATGAAATCGGAACATGAATGGGAAACTTCTTCATACTACAGTGGAAGAAGCATACCACGCGCAAGGGCTTATCATGGATCAGTTAATCCGTCTTATCTTCATGATAGAACTCCAGATGATGTCCAGTCTTTTCGCTCTTTGCCACCGGCTAGGGCCCATAGGGGTGGACACATGATGGGGAATAGAGATATGCATAGTTCTCAAATAGCTTTATCTCAGTTATCAGGGCATCATTCATTTCTTGGAACATATGGGCAGGAGCCTCATCAGAATGGGTGGGGTGCTCATCATTGGGATAATGTTGATGCATACTCTGAAAGACATGCTCCCTCCAGACTCTCTTATGGGAAGGATAATTTTAGCTAATTATATGAACGATTATTTACTTTATCCTGTGATACATGAAAGACTCTTCTCTGCAAGTAATGCTCTAGATCAGAATTTAGAACTTCTTTATTAACAGGAAAAAATAGTTTGCTCTTTTATCATCAGGAAAAAACTTGATTTATCCTGTGATACAAGGAAGATCCGATTTTGCCCGGAAAATAATCTTCCAGAGCATAGTTTCTAATCTTCTTTATCATCAGGAAAAACTTGATTTATCCTGTGATACAAAGGAAACTTGATTTTGTGCTATTAATTATGCTCCAGAGCATGAATTTGAAGCTTTTTCTTTTTAATTTTAAGAAAAGTTTGCTTACTTTTTATCAGCAGGAAAAGACTTGATTTACCCTGTGATACCAGGAATGCTTGCTTTTTGTCTGTTAATTATGCTCCAGAGCAGGCTCTTAGAACTTCTTTATCACCAGGAAAAGTTTGTCGCTTAATCATCAGGAAACAACTTTTTGTGTATGCCAGTGTCTTCATTTGTAGTTTTACAAAGTGCTTAGGTTGCCCTAAGATGTTTATCCTTATAGTATTGGCAGCTAACATAACCAATTTTGGATGAGAAAACGTTGAACGTTTTAGTACATTCAATTAAAACTGTTCTTAAAAGATGTTCAATTCCAGGATCATTACTTTTTGCATTATGAAAGACGTTAAGCTAACTAAGCTTTAACGTAAATATGTCTGAAATTTCTAAATGACACAGAATGGTGAAAAAGGAAAAACTGACTTCTTATATGTCTTTGATATATTCAAATGTGTGCTATTAGAACAAATTTTATTGTACAGCATATTGACATTTATTACTTATTTCACTAGTTAATCACAGAATATGAAACAGTTTCACTAGTTAAAATTTTTTTTAATTTCACTGATTATACATTTGTGTTCTATGAATGTAATTTCATATTCAACTCAAGTTCATCAATTAATTGTTCAAAACATAATGGAAACATAATAGAATGATATATAGAAGCAATAATTACTCTTGTAATTATTGTCAGTTGAGAGTAATTACTCTCAATTTCTCTAAACAAAATTGGTACTTGAAATGAACGACAGGTGGCGCAGAACAGAACTCTCTACCTATGGCAACACTTCGCATGCTTTTTCCCCATTAGAGTGGGGATAGTCATAGGAGAAGAAATTACGTTAGTTTCTGTCTTGATTTTAAAATTGATTAACAAATTTTTAAGTTAGAAAATTATATGGAACTCAAAACTGCATTGAACAGAATTCTCAAGGAAAGCACCTTGGAAATAAAAATATTTTTGACAATTAAATGCAAAAAATATTATGGAAGGGGAAAAGATCGTAGTACATTCCCATGCAGCTGAGCTGAGGGTTTTCTCCCCCATTGACGTATTCAAACGTTGCTATCACGGATATAAATAACTAATTATTTGTTTAAGTTAAATTTACTTATCAAGTTTAATGAAGTTAAGTTACTTGTTTCTAAGCGTAGTTTACTAAAAAAATTTCAAAGTGAACCATATTTTACGTTTAATGATCGATTTTTTTCCTATAGATTTAGATATTCTTTTATGCAATCATTTTATCAATAGAATACAGAGGAAGAAGGCTTTAAGCAAAATTTTAGTGAATTTAGAAACAACAGTTTTTGGTAAATATAACAACAATAGAAAGCTATTTATAAAACACATTCTCCACATTAAAAAACCTTTTACTTTTAATAACTAGAAGAAAAAAAATTCGATTGCAACTGTGAACAAACATTAGGGCAGTACATATATTGTTCTGAAACCCAAAATTTTTATGATATCAACCTTCTGCTAAGTTCTTTAATTATTAAACAAAACTTTTTTACCACTATAAAAGAAAACAATAATTTTAATAACTTATATATAAGCAAAGAATATCATGATTGTTAAGATGATCTCGTTAATTATTAAATATATTGCAGGGAGTTCGTTCCTTTTAAATAGTTAATTTAATAAAAATTCACCGGGTTTCGATGGTCACTTAAATACTATAAATTTTTAAACAATCCAAATACCTAACTCTTTATTAAGTGTTTAAATTATTGAATCGTGAAGTGGTTACGAACATTTAACATGTTAACGTTTTAAAAAGTTTATACACCCCCATAATAATCTTGAAGGACAACTGGACGCCCTGGTATTGCCAACAAAATATAAACAGAGATGAAGAGATTTTTTTAACAGCATTACAGAAGTTAGCAAGTAAAAAAATTCGAAGAAAGAAATCATTAAACATTTTTTTTAAATTAAAGAAAAAGTCTTCAATTTAAAAATAAATTAAAATACATTATTTCATAGCGATTTGACCATCATTAATTGAAAATTTAATCTAATTCTACATCAGTTAATTACAATATTTCAAATCACGTGAAATGCATAATTTAAGCTATTAATTAAAGGGGCCAATTTTGCGATCATATAATTCATATTAGATGCTTAGAGCCACATTACAAAAAAAGAAAACAAAATATCGGGATTAAATATAAATGTTCAGATTACTTATATTACAAAAAAAATATCTAGATTAAATTGCAGAGAATATCAGACTCCAGAAACAAAATTTTGAAAAAAAAAAATATTTAACAAATATATAATTTATTTTTTTTCTTAAATAAAAATGGTGAGAACATTTTTAATTAAAATTAAAGAGAATTCAAACACTGTTTTCAAAACCATTAAAATCACACCTGTTTGCTATTTTTTTTTTTTTTTTTTTTTACCAGAAGCAAGAATTTGGTAAATTAAAAAAAAGCTAGTTTTGCATAAAACTTTAATTTCAGGTCGTCATCTATTTTGTTTAATGCCCTTCACAATCCACAACAAAACTTATACAGATGATAATAGTATATTATGCTGTTTATTCTCCTTCAATATCACTAGATATTTAAAAAAAAAATTACGAGGAGAAATTCCAACATAATTTTTCCGGGAGATTTTCTTGCATAATTAAAATGATAGAAAAATTTGTGACTTTTTATTCCTTGTTTAGTAAAGTTAAATCAAAATAATTTTGACCACATCTACACGAGTATATTTCAAGTAAATATGTATAAGACTTAATTGTCAAGTATAATTTCTGCTTACAAATGTCAAATCAAATTTTGATGTACTACCTCCAGAAATTTTTTTTTCGAAGTGTGTACGTCGGTAGCTGTGGGATTATTTTAATACATATTATTATATATATCTGATTCAAATAATGTATTATTATGAATTATCACATATACAAAGATTCATCTCATTTTGTGACAATCTAAGTCAGTGTTTTGTACTGTTTTATAAAGGCTGACTCAATCTAATTTAATTGTTATGGAAGTTTGTGTAAATATTTGGTTAGAGTAAGGCATTTTTTTTTGCCTCTTATGTAACATTTGTGTGTTCAAATAAAATATTTACAAGAAGTACATACATATTTTTTATAAAACTTTGTTAATAAAATACATTTATGATAAATAGTTAAAGAATAGTATTGAGGGTATAGGACAAAATTAGAAAATTTCGTTACTTGCCAGATGCAGCATTTTTAACAGTAACCACTTTTTTAAAAATTAAAAGTTTTAAACGATTTTAGATACATAAAAAAAATGACGATGTAAAATTGTTGATTGAGTTTCTTTTTCACATAAAATAACTTAATTCTTTAATTCTCAAAGTGGTTGAGGCAATAAATTCTATTGGTAAGGCTAAATATCTGAACTCTGTATAAATGGAGAAAAAAAAAATATTTTGTTGCATATACTAATACTTTATTTTGCCTAATTCTAGTGAGAGGATTTTATACCTGAAATTAGTTTTGCTCTTAAAGTTAAGAGATTTTTTTTAAAAATAACATTTTTGGTCTACTTTTTGTCGAAATGTACAAGTTTAAAAACGTTATGTAAATGTTGTGACAAACTTTTAAGGGTGTTTGTGCACAGGTTAAAATTGCACAGGCCAGGCGTCCATGCCTGGAAATGTCATCGAAAGCGGCTTGGGGCGCTTTCCTATTATGAGCTCTGTTAAGAAGGCGAAGAAACAGTTCATTACAGATAAGAGCTCCTAGTGTCATAGGGCGACATTTCCGGGCATGTGTTCCTATGCAATTTAAATATTGATGATGTGCCTTAACTCCCTTAGATGTTTGACGCAACATTTATAAAATCCTCTGTTTTATATAACGTTTAAAAAAAATGTTGCTTGAAGAAAGAGACTGATTGCAAATTTTAAAATCAGCAATACGAAAGTATCTAAGATCCGCTCAAAAATTTTATGCAACAGAAAGAAAAAAATAATTTCCCCCAGTGTATGGTCCTTAAATTTTAACCATAGAATTTAGCACTTATACAAGCATTATTAATTAAAATGTAAAGATATTGGATCAAAAAATCAGTCCTTTCTTTAAATCCTTTGATTATTCTCATCAACTTCTTAAAAACCTGCATTTTTTACTCTTAGGAAAGGGCTTTTCTGAACACATACAAAAATCCCAAACATCAGGACAAAATATTTTTTATCAGGAAAATCAGGACGACTATGAACCCTGGTTTATGGCAATGGGTTGAAAGACTGCAATGAAATTTATAAATCAACATATATCAACTTGATCAGAATAAAGATATTTCCCAGCAGATTAGACACTTTTTTAATAAATGAGATTATAATTAAAGTTAACAGTGTCTGAACTTCACTGTAAAACATTTAAACTACAAGCAGTTGACCCGTGATATTGAACTTACAAGCCAATTCTGAATAATATTTCAATAAAAAATAAAATTAGTATTCACCAAATTCTATGCAAGAAAGATTGCTGTTGTTAATTTGTAGCACAGGAACTTGGTGTTCATCTTGTACAAAAATCAAAGTTTAAGAAAGTTATTCGAATTCAATCTAATTTGCAGTTTCTTTTAGATTTTTTTACAGAATAAGTTTAGTAAAAATTTGATAAATTTTTCTTTTTTTTTACTATACCAGTAAGAAAGGAGAGTAAAATGTCTGCTTTGAAATTTGGATCTTCTGAGTATTTATTTGCAGGGGCATGCATATGTTGTGGATGAAGTAAGAATGTTCTTATCATGTGTGAAAGTAAGAAACTAATCTTAGTTTGGGAAGTTAACCCTTTCGATCCTAATAGGATAGATACATCCCAAAGAATAAACTTTATTCCATATTGGATAAGCAGAACCAGATTTTGCAGAACAAATAATTCAATGCATTTATATTATTTTCATTATTTATTCCTATGCAATGTATAGGGATTGTTACAATATTCAAGACAATTGGGACATTGTCCCACGAGAATTCCGGGAAAACTTATCATATACTTATTTTAATGTGTCAGCATTAACATAAACTGCTTTTCATACTTAAATTTCAATGCTGCAAAGGTCGGGGGTCGGAAAGATCAAAACAGGAATCTCAGTTTTAAGCCTAAAAAATCTCCAACAATTTGATCAGGTAAAACTATATCTAACCAATCCTAGTAGACATAAGCCCCAAGTTAGTGGAAAGAATGTATCATAAGAAAACACATAAATAAGTGCCTATAGGTCAAAAACAATATTAAAATTCATTACACTAACATTTTTTAAGGTTAAGGACCATTGCTTGTACATTATGTGTAATGTAGATATTTGCTTTAGAGTTCAAAGAGGGTATTGGTTAGGCCCAGTTTAGCAGACTAAATATAGAAACTAAAAGATGTAATTAACCTAATTGCCACTAGTTCATAGGTTTATCTTTCATTCTTGTTTTAACCTTAACATATACACAGCCAACTCTAAGCAACGAAGATACAATAAATTATGAGGATAATACTGATGCGCAATAGAAAAATTAACATACGCAACAAAAAATTCAGAATTTAGATTTTTATATAGCAATTTTTGTCTAAGCTACATACTGTAACAAATTTTTTTTCAACTCAATTTTATTATTAATTTCCTGAAGTTACATTTGGTAGCATTAGTATGAAAAATAAAACAGTTGCCAAGCTGCTTTTCTCATAATTTATCATGAAGCCCTTACGTTGTTTTTCAGTTACATAGCAAAGTAAAGATGTACTATAAAAATTTATGAATTGTCACAGAAAATTTTAAAATATTGATTCTTTTACAAAAAACACTTTAGAATTTTTTAAATTTATTAATTATAAATATAATAGAAACTTCAAGAATTTTTCTTAAGATCAATTTATTAAGCGATAATTATATACAAATTTAATACATAAAATAAAACATACACATAACAAACATTTAGCCTCTGTCAACGCCTTCCAGTCCTGGGTTTATTATTAACTCCATTATTAATTACAGTCAGTGGCGCTCTTGGTTGGTTAGTCGTCCTATTTGCACTTCTAGGCATGAAGGCAGATGTAGTATGGTTACCATTACCTAGAAAGATAACACAACTTTAGATACCTAATCATAAGAAGACAAAACGAAAGTAAAATAGAATAGATAAAAGTAAAATTTCTAATAAGGAAGTTGAACCTTTTAAGTAAGGATTTAAATTAACAATTTGATTAATCAAGGCTAATTTTATTTTGCAATGTTATGATAAAATATAATTATGTATTAAATACAGTATAATATGAAGATTTTTAAGATTCAGTTCTTTTTTTATCATTTAAAATTCTTCTTAAAACACATTGAAACTATTTACGATCATTGACATGCCATTTTAGTACTTTTAAAATTAAATTTTTCTAAATTTAATAACTTCATAAAATTATTTATTAACCTCATTAATTTAATTTTTTAATCATTTTTAATCCTGCGATAATTAAGTCATTTATTTATTTTATCATATTTTATAAAATGTGAATATAAATACTCTTCTTAACAATCAATGTAATGGCTAACTTTTTAATTCAATGCAAGTGTATAAGTCATTAATTTAGCATTGCGACAAATTGAATACCAAAATCTATTTTTAGCTTGACTTTTCTTTAAGCTGTTATATTTCTCTAACCACAAAAGTTTTTCATTTAAAGCGCTATATTAAATTCTAACGGTCTTTTTGATGCTTAGTTTGTAATAATATTATTTAAAATTCAACAGTAATAATGCCGTGTTGGCTTTATTTTTGTCTGTATTATGTTTTGATAGTTCACCAAATTTTAGATTTCTTTCCATGCTACCAAGCATTCGCTAGCAACTATGCATTCACAGGTACTGGTGCTAGTTTTTTTTGTTTTGTTTATTTGAATGCCTAAGGCCCCTTAGTCTGACTGCTAAAAGTTAAATTTTTATTAAAAAATTAATGCTAAAGTTTTTGCACATGACTAAGTGAAGAGCACTTTTGAATGACGCCATTATGGGGAACATTTCACCCGCTAAATAAAGAATTATGTTTGATTTTTGCTCATAATATTATAAGTTAAAGACATGGTAATTTTATAACCCCACTATTAACACTGCTTAACAATTATTTTATTAATTAATAGTGGAAATTAATTTCCTAGTGATGCAAGAAATATAAATATTCAATTAAGTTTAATCTAAGAAATAATCAAGTCCTTGAGAAATTACATGTAACAAATGAATCTGAAGGCGCCTGGATGCTTTCTTGCTCAGCGTTTTTTCCCCCGTACAATATACAAACAAAGAATTCTTCACAAGAAAAAAGAAAGAACAAACAATAACAGATAACCCTGCATTTTAAAACTAACTCGCTTTAAGTTTTCAATACAAGAGATCTACATTAAGACTAAAAGACTTTATAGAAAACGATATAAATATCAGAAAATATCTAAATAAAACAATTAATGACCTATGAGGATAAGTATTTTTTCTGGGATGTTTGTATAAATATTAAATATAAATAATTATATTATGTATACATTTTGAATTAATAATGGATGTTAAAATTGTAAATAATAAACCCCCAACAGATAGATACTGCAAAGCCTCGATATTCTAAGCATTATTTTTGGTTTTCTGATCTACAGGAAAGTAGAGTACAGGATGTAGATTCATATCCAGCTTTGTACAAAGTCATAACGCTTAGAGTGCTAATGGCACCTAGAACAGCTCGCCAAACAATTCAAGTTCTTTTTAAAATAAATACGGTTTGTAATCTGACTAACTACAATGGTATTAACAAACTTATTTCTTTGTTTTCAACGCATTTCTTTATAGATAAAAGACAGACTTCTTGCCATGCTTTCCCCCNTTCCCCCCCCCCCCCTGAAATTCAAATTTAATATTTTCTATTAAATGTCATTTTTAAAAATAAACCCCAATCTTTATTTCACAATGAAAGAAAGTGCAATTTTTTTCTTAGTTTCTGAACTTTTTGATGCAGATTGGATACTAATGCCCCTTTCATACATTTTTTTCTGATGCCTAATTGCAAGCAAAAATATATTTCGGTATATTTTAATTAAAACAATAGTTCAATAGTTACTAAAAAAAAACTGTTAGATTATCCGAATTGTATTTGTACCAATATATAAATACCCCCCCCCCCAAAAAAAAAGTTGTTTGAAAATGTTTTTTCATTCACCTCAAAAATGTATGATTAATAGATTTTGTAAATTAATGAAATTTCAATGATGATAATCGGCTCCTCTTAGATCCAATAACAGCAAATAAGCGCAAATTTTAAAAATTGTTTGGAAGTGAGCCCTGTTTGAAAGATTTTACCTTTAATGCAGAAAAAGACAATGGTGTTTCGTGTTGTATTTCATAACCATAAATTATTAAAATGCTAAATATAATATTTTTTACTTATTTTCCTAAACAATGAAAAAAGTATTGAAAAATTTGTTTAATAAAAATTCTGTGTCAAAAGGCTAACTTAAGACTTTATAACAATCAATACTATTAATTATGCTGCGCTATGAGGATTGTTGTTATAGTTGGATTGAATTTATTGTTAATAGTTTAAGAGTTGGAATTGTTGACTATACTTTCAGAAACACTAACACTATGTTTTCAAAGAAACAAAATCAAACACTTTTATTGTACATCAATAAGGAGAAATAAATAAAAAAGATGGATAATCATTACCCCATCATGTAGGTCATAATTCCAAAGATCATAGAAAATAAGAGCTGGTAAAAAGATACATTTCATTTAATGAAAAAAAAAATACTATTTTAAAAAAAGAAAAAATCTTTTATATTTTTCCATAACTAGTTTAAGATAACCACTGTTCCGTTTTAATAATACTGTTAAGAATATTCCATAAAAAAATAACAATAACTTTCAAAAATATACAGAAATAAGATAAAAACATGTGAATAAAAGTAATTGGGCTCAAATTTTTAGTTTATTATAATACTAGAAAATTATTAGCATTTTCAAAATATGTTAAATAAAAATATATGAATCATGCACAGTTGAAATAAAAAGAATGATTCAGTAATGAATATTGTTATTATTAACTCTAAGATTTATTAATTGAAAATTGCACATGTTGTATATCTATTGTACCAGCGAGATCAAACACAATAAGTTTAGTATATAAATACTAGAAAATGACGAAGCTAAAATAAAAGTCAGATACTTTCGTAATTTGAAACAAAAAAAAAAAAAAATTAATCTGATTTTGTTGAATATTTTCAGCTTAATTTTTAACTCAACTAAAATTCTTTCAAAGAGAGAACTGTTACATTTTATAAAACGTTTCATTACTTTATCTAAATTTCAGTATCATGCAACCTTAGTTGTTTTGGTTTCAAGTACTACTAAAAAGCAAACAAGAATGGCAACAATGAATTCTAACAATCTGGTCCTTTGGGATAAAAAACTTTTAACTAAAATTAAGATATATTATAGTTAACAGTTTGCAAAAAACAAAGATTTACTTTTTTAAAAAATAGTCTTGCACGTACACACATAGGGTTAGTATGTACAAACATATAAATCTGTAATTAAAATAGAAATTTCCTTAATTTACTTAATTAATCAAGATTTCCTTAACTAGCTTTGTAAGGAAACTAAGCTGAATTCTTATAATTTATTTTAGAAAATAGCTTAATCTAAAAACTGAACTTTTTTCTAAATTTTACAAAACAATTATTTTAACAATTGATTCATTCTATTAAAATGTAGCTTCAAATACATAAATCTTGGATATAAAAATAAAGTATCACTAATATTTTAAAAAATTTTTTTTACCAATATTATTCTGCAGCCTAAAAAGTGAAATACATTGCAGAACCTCTTATCCGGAAATCAGAAAACCAGATAATCGGAATGAAATTCGGAACCGGAAATTATTTTTCTTCCATTAAAAATTTTTTCTTTCCTGCAAGATTTTGAGCCCATTTTGTTATTTAGAACGTACGGCGTATCGAGTTGACGAAAGAACTGATTTAGAGGACGAATCAAAAGCCGTTTGTAGACAAATCTCACATAAGCACAAATAGCTTATATATGTTATTAATGTTAATAATAACATTAATAACATATATAAGCCTGTATATAATTTTTATTTCATAATTTCTTTCCTTATTTAAACTTAAGTGTATTATTATTTATAATTTTTTATTATTTCTAAATAATTTTTTAGTTTCGTTTTATAAACATTAAAAAAAAAACGGCAGCTTGTAGCGATTTAGAAAACCGGAAAAATCAGTTATCCGGAATTGCGATGGTCCTGATCGTTCCGGATAATCGGTTCTCTACTGTATTACATTTATTTAACTAAAAACAATATTCATTTTTCTAGATTAATTTAAATAATGAAAGATTGATATGGAAATACAGATATAGCTTTCAGATATGATGCTTTTAAACTAAAATGTTCGCATAAAATTTACAGCAGAAATAAACTTACATTTTCGAAAACACATCCTAAGACAAGAATTAAAGGACCATGGGGAAAAAAATCTCCATTATTAGGTAATGTGAGCAATGGTTGAAAAAACTACAACTGCTTACTAAAAATGTAGTTAAGAACAACAACTTTTTGATTACAAACTACTTTTGAAATATATTCATTATTCTAGCAAAAAAAACTATGCAGGAGAACTTATTTTACACCCAAAATGGTTTCGAATAAAAAGATTTGCAAAATTAGTTTCATTTGGACCTCTTTTTTTAAAAAACTGAACTACCACTAAAAACAGTTGATAATCATTAACAGTTGATAATCATTACAAACTTCTGTTTTAATGTACTGTATCACACTACTTACTACACTTTTTTTTTAAAAAAAGAAAAGTAGCACATCAAACAACAAACTCCGAAAAAAGCAGCTACTACAGTAGTTTTGTCATTGTAGCATGTTACTTTTGAGCAGTGTATCAGACTAAAGTAAAGAGTAAAGTGAAGCTAAAAGAAAATAGATGATAAATTCTAGGTAAATCTCCTTTATGAGATACATACCTGAGGCGGATTTAACAAAAACTGACCACTTACCAGTCAGTGGAACTGTAGGTATTGGAGGAGCTACAGCTCCAGGTGCTGGTGAAAGAGGTATGGGCTGTTGTAAAGGAGGAGATCCCCTTTGCTCACCACCAGGCTGTAAGGAAATTTAATCTATTAGAAAATAAATCTCTAAACAATTAACTTTCCTTCTTCAAAAACATAATAAATACATGATTGAAAATTGCAAGAGTGAGAGATAAAAACTAACTACTTTTATTTCTATTGTTAAAATACCAAATTCATTATCAATTGCTTTAATAAATACATATAAATAATAATAAATAAATAAGTGAAGTATTTTAAAAGATGAGAAATTGGAAGAACTGCAAGTAGATGGATAATAGAAATATAGAGCTGTTTAAAAAAACGATTATAAAAAAAAAAAAAGGCTCAAATTTAAAAATGCCAAAATTCTACAGAGCTGGAAAACTTATCCTAAGATTTCAGCTTAACAATTACGAATTTTTGTAGAAGTAAAGTTGAATAAGATTTACTTATTTTAAAAAAATAATTTGTTAACTGGAAATAATGTTACTAGAAGCATTAAAAAACCACTTCTAAATTTATTCTCAAACATTAAGTTAAAAACAAACTAACTAAAGGATTAAAAGCTAAATTCTAAAAAAATTAACAATAAAATAAAGATTAAAAAAAACAAGCACTTTATGATTCATGATAAGTTTATTTTACTTCTTCATGTTTAAGTGCTATATTTTAACCAAAATGAATGCAATATGCCAGTGAACGCTATATTTTAATCAAAAAATTCAAAGTAATAATTTTTTAAACTAGGCAAATGACTAACTTTTGTTCTTTCTTTATATTCTTAGTTTTGGAACAATCTTAATGGATATCGCCTCTGAAAACATGAACTAGCTTCAATGTACTTCTTTTCTCTAACACAATAAATATTAGTGAGTAAAAGATATAGTATAAGTGATTTTTATGCATGTTTGCAATTTTGAAGAAATTAAAGCTTTTTCTGAACATTTGCGAAAGGAAATGAATCATATTTTTAAAAGAACAATAAATGTATGAAAACTAAACAAAGAAATGAAAACTGAAGTAAAAGAGGGTCTCATGTCATAAGGCAAATTAAGAGATGAATCATCAAGGTTTACAAACACTCAAGGGGAAAAAAAATTCTGACTGAAGTAATTGAATTTTCCAGCTATGATTTTCATGGAAAAAATATGTTTAAAAAAAAAAAAAAAATACAGGGACCAATCTAAATTACTGGCTCTTCACATTCTAGGACTCAATCTTAATGGTTATGGGGGGTTACTTCAAATATCCTAATTAATTAGTGCACACGATATTTTAAGTTATGAAATCGGACGCAACCTACAATTAATTGTCTATTTCGCGATATTTGGAGAACTTAAGCAAATTGAAAACTTTTCGCACATAAAGTTCCTTATTTTTTTATATTTTACTTAATAATCGACAATATTTTGAATGGTAAGGTATAATTTTTTACATAATTTTAAAGAATGCAATTTTAATAGACAAAGTACAAAATTTGCACGAAATCTGAAAAACAGTCTCACAAATCAAATTTTTAAAATACGATATTTTCAAAATTAGATTTTTCAGGAACTATCTGACTTACATTGCAAATTTTTTTTTTTTGCCTTTTAAAATTACAATCTTTAAATTTTATATCTCTAGTTCAAAATTTTTCCAGTGTTAAGGAAAATAATAAAGAGTAATAAATAATAGCTAAAAATTATTTTGTGGCATTATCTTTGTATAAACCAATTTTATGATTGCATCAAAATTTTTCAATTCACTTAAAAAGCTATAGATATGGCAAAATATCCAAAAAGTAATATTAACAAGTTCAAACCTTGGACTAATCTCCTAACTAAACTATTGGGACCACAATTCCCAAATTGCAGCTAACCCCTATAATTTGGGGGTCAAAAATGGAAATCCATTAAAAAAAAGGTATGTTTATCAGAGAAAGTTCAATTTTGTGTCTGATTTCCTAACTTTAAAATATTGTCTACACTTATTAATTAGTAAATTTAAGGTCATTTCTTCAAACCGTTAAGAACTATTGCGGCATGCACTAGCTGTTTAGTTGACCAATAAATGATTAAGAGCTTGGACTATGTCAATTATTCATCTAATTTCCAGAACAGAAAATTTCGATTATGTGAAGAGGCATTTAGATAATTATTTTTAAGATTTAGATGTATTTTTTTTTTTGTAAATTTTTTTCATTGCTAAAGATAGTCAAAATTTTATAACATGTTAAGCGCTTTTGACTGTAAGAGAACTTGTATTGAACTCGATATTTCTAGAGAATTAGAAAATTGGTATTTTGCTAATATTTCCAAACTTAAAGATTTGAGACTCAGGCTTTGTAGTGTGATAAAAAAAAAATACGAAAATTTTTTAGAAAAATCAGGGCATTTTTTGTAAAAGTATTCATGTACCATACTATCTGTTTAAAAAGGAAATGCTAAAACTAAACAGTATAATTTGCTTTACTTAACTGCAACAGCAAATTGTACCACAAAAGAATAATTAATAAAGTATACTATTTTCAATTTTGAAAATTACTTTGTTTCAGAATAGAGAGTTTCAACTATAATTTTATTAATGCTGAGAAACTAATAGTTTCAAATCAATACATGGAAAAATCTTATTTCAGGACTGCATAAAAAAATAACTGGTATCAATAACTTAATATTCTGTCATACCAATATATAATTAAAATTTGTAATCAAGTTCAAGACTTATTTAATCAAACAATTCTAATGTAAGTTTCAAATTATCTCAAACTATTAATGATTATACTGTTTAACATTTTCGCAGAAAAGTGATTTTAATGGACAATCTCTCAATTTGTAATTGAAAAGTTCTATGATATGATTTGCATGAAGTCATATCTATCAGATAAAAGAATCTATCAAATGAAAAACCAATAATTTGAAAATTGCAATACTCCACCCCATAAGATTTTTTATTGTACTTGCTGAAAATAATAAATAAGCAAATGACCCCTGAATTCATAATCTACTTTCCTTTTGATAGAAAGAATTAATTCCCAAAAAGGTTTAAACAATGAATTAAGCGTGTAAGGCTTTATGTATCAGTAGATTGTCCCTAAACTGGACTTTACTTTTTGTCATTTATATTACTATTATTATTAACTAAAATAAAAAGAGTTTGCCATTTTTGATTCTTCAAATTAATTTTTAAAAATCCCCATTTGATTTGTATTCATAGAAAAAAGAATGTTCTAAACTTACAATAATCGAGACAAAATGCAGAATATCACATGATAGATCAAAACTAAAAGAAAATTTTGTTGCACATCTAAACAAATAATTTTTATAAATATATGGGCATTTTTTAATCTCAAAATTTTTTAAGTAAGCTCCGTTGATTTGTCCTCAAATCATAGTTTAGAAATCTGGTCACCTTATGCTTGGGGTAAGATCCTTCAAAAGCTTTATTCTAAAAGTAATCAATCCAGAAATTTACAGAGTAGCTCTCTTCTAATGCCTTTACCCAGAGATTCCACTCATCAGTTAAATTTATAAACAGAATCTTCATTTTAAACATGCCACAATTTATTTGCGAGCTGTCTTATGACAGGTAGTGTAGATTTAATAAATGTTTCACACTCCAGAATGTAAAATCTAAATTTTGAGGGATAACATAGCTGTGTAGGAAAAAATAGGACTGTTTTGGTAATACAGGAAAACATAGGATGTTTTTAAGACTTAAAATATATAGAAAATATAGGATTTGGATTTGATCCCTGTTAGCGTTACACTTGAAAAAGTATATTGCATTTAAATATATACATAATTAGTCAGCAATAAGTAATACTTACAGGTTTCTGTTGGTTATTTTGTTGTTCAGAACTTTCACTCATATTAGGTACTTCAGAAAATGTAAAACAAAATCTGAAAACAAAATATTATTAGAAACATTAAAAATTATTACTTTGCTTTGAAAATATTTAAATAAAATTTCAAATTTCATAATTGCAGAAACAGAAGACAATCATAAAATAGAAATAATTTTTAAAAATCAACATTTTCATTTATAGTAATATAAATCAAGTTAAGTTTTTTCTTTAATAGTTACTAATATTTAAAAAAAAAATCAATTTCTTACATTTAAATGCTAATTAGTATATTCTGTAAAAAGTTGCATCAATCCTTACAAAAGAACCTTTAATGTCTAGTGATGAATAGCATTTGACTGAATAGAACATTTTTTATAACTTATCAATTTTCTGAACAAGTTCCTTTCAAATTTTTTCTAATTTTATGCATCTAATTGATCATAGAAAATATTCATGTGATAAAGTTTTCAGTATAGATTTAATATTTTTTTGAGAGAGAAACGAGGATAAAAACAGATTTGTAAGTTAGAAATAAAACTAGGTTAGGCCTTAAAGAAATTGGAAACTGGCTGACATGTGAAGAGTACAGTTTTTAGTTTATTTTTGTGTATAATATATTAATTGATTCACAGAGTATGTGAATCATTAATATGAATTAATAATTTTTGCTGTAGAACACTAGCAATGGTAGCTTGCAGAATTATGAGTAAACAATCTTAAGTAAAATGTTCACATAATAAATAATTTTATTTGAATATAAAAATGTATTATTTCATAAATGGTGCAATAATTAACATTTAAAAATTTTTTTATAAATACCAAATACTTACAAACATATCTTTTAAAAATCTAATGATTATAAACAAAGCTTAATATGTGATTATCAAGCTATAAATTGGTTATACAATTAATTGTTTCTTATATTATTTAACATGGAAATAAATTTAGGATAATATAAATATTATAACAAACTATAAAAGTCAGCAGCACAAAGCCTTTTCTCTCTTTTAAACATATTTAAATAAAAGTACAAAGATTTCATTTTGAATTTTTACATAACTAAACAAATATAGGATGAGTACCTAAAAGCTTTAAGATTAATTTAAAACTGAATATACATACTTTTGATACATTTTGTTTATCATCATAGTAAAATAAAAATATTTCTATAAATACCTTTCTGAGAATCAGTAATCACTGATCTAGTCTAAACTTTGGCTTATTTTTTTAAAAATTTATTTGAAAAGATTTAAATAAAATAATAATTAACAAATCACATAAAAGTTGGATAATATTTTGGTTGAGAAACTATTGAAAAAAGATATTTTGTTTACTATTTCCCAAATTATTTAAATTGAAGATGCAGTTTGACACTTATATAAAAACTTAAATTTATTTTTGAGTACAGATAGAACAAAAATTTGAAAGTACATTAATTATAACTTTAATGTACGTTTATTAGTAATGTCATTTGTTCTCATTCAATACTCACCAGGTTTAGAACAAATCACTTTATTGAAATCTAACAAGCATTATTAAAAGGGAGGAAAATATTGAAATGAGCACTTACCTCAAAAAATAAATTTTTGAACACAAGTAAAATTAAAAATTATCAAAAGGTTGCAAACTATTTAGATTTATTACAAAAGTTCATTTAGTTGTAATAATAAAGTAATGACTATTGATAGTGGTACACTTACAACATTTTTAGAAAATAGGTTTGGATACTATTAGAAAACTACTTGGTTAAATATTATAGCCAAATGTGACACTATGAAAAATTACACGATAAGTGCAAAGGCAAATATTTAATTAAAATTAAATAAAAATTAAAACAAGTTTTAAGTGCAAACCAAGCTGGATTAAAAATTAGTATATTGCATTAAATTTTAAACTTGATTGGAAACAAAATAACATTTTCTGTACCTCCAATAAATTTGTAATTAATGCCTGTGGAATTTAGTGTAAATTTTTCCAATAGTTTTCTATTAATAAAAAACCAAGTGAAATTTTATAATCACCCAAGACCATACAATTGCACAGTAAGTAATGAACAATATACACTTGACAATTTAAAAAAAAATTTAACATGAAATAAGTTTTTTTTTGATTGTGAAGTAAATACAATATTTCACGCATTATATACTATTGCTCATTAATTTCAATGCACCCATTGTTTTTTCAATGTACACATAAAGAGGTGTGCTTTCAGTGTTTACTAAGTAATAAACTCTGATGAAAATATTTTTTTACATAACGTTTACACAGCATAATTTGATGTAAATCTTTTCTTCATCAAAATAACCAAATTTCAGATCCAATTTTCCCAAATTGATCAAGTAGTTTAATAGAATTTCTGTCTGGATTAGTGGCTGCAGTTTTAAAAACAACAGCTACACAATTCATAGAGTTTGAATGCTCACGTTTAAAAAACTGATATGCAATAAAATTTCTGAGCAATAGTGTAGATTACAAACACATAATGAAACAATATTTTAACAATGTTCAGGACTTGTAGCATCTTGCCTTACAGTAAAAATCTTCAGATATCCACTTCTTTACCTGATTTACATAAAAGAGTAAATAGAATTTACTGATGCACAAAATAATGAGTAAATAACTCAATTGGAAATAATTGAAAATATACCTTTTCACTGATAATGAAAGGGACTAATGTGGATGCATCAGGCCCCTCCATCAGGACATTTTCCAATCAGGAATATCAGCTATGAGAAGAAAGAGAAAATCAGATGAGCAGGATCAGATAATAAGTTTTGCGCAGCATCAGAACTCCCGGAATGCAATCCAAAAATTAGCGGCAAAAATTTTCAGTATGGGAAAGCTAGAGTTTCATAACGGGTATTTTATACAACGGATGTAGAAATGATATGTTTGGGTTGCTTAATATTATTATTATTTTTTTTAAATTAGTGTAGGTAGTGAGTGTGTGTTTTCATGTAATCTGTAAAGAAATAATTTAAAACAAACACAATTTTTTGGAACACAATTTTTATAAGTTTTCGCATACATATTTTTATTTCAAATTTTTCACAAAAACAGTACAATACAATTATTTTTAAAAACAAGTTACAATTTAGATAAGTTATTTTATATACACTCCCACTTAATTTTTAGCTTCTTATTTGATATTAGAGATGCACTGAATATTCAGCAAAAGCCAGTAATATAGAATAACTAAATATATAAGACTAAATAGTAATAGCCACAAATAGTACTTCTTTGAAATGCCAGTTGATGGAATGGTATTTTGAATTTAGCAACAAATATGCTGAATAATTAATTAGCATAATTAATTATTCAGCATACTCAATATCATAATCAGCATATCAGCTCAACATATCCAAATGATTAATTAACTGTAGTCAAATATCAAATATTCAGCCATAAATAAAAGTAGAAATTTTAGAACAGAATGTTAGCATTCTTACTGATTGACTTGATTATACAAAAAATAATGAACAGAGTTAATCTACTTTGTCATGCTTAATAATTTTGAACAAAGAAAGCAAAAACATGTTACTTTTTGTAATAGCATCTTATAGCAAGTATAGTTATCTGTTAACATTTAAATATTTTTATGTTGCAAATTGAATCTGAATGCTTTAGGCATAATCAAATGAAACTGATGAATTTCACCTTTGGCTCTTTTTTCCCCTCACAGATTTTTGAAAAAGTTACTAATCACTTTGTATTTCCTTCAATTGCAAAAAAAAAAAGTATAATACAAAAAATAATGGAATGCTTCATTTTTCTAACTATGTTAATTTATAACAACAAAATTCCATAGTATTTTTTTTTAAATACATAGTTGAACTGTTATGTTTATTGAAATAACATAGTTAATATTATTTCATAGCGCATTCTAGTACTACATTCTATAATAGAAATAATATACACCTTTCATTTTTACATTCCTTTTTTTTGTAAATTACAAATAATGGCTAATACAAGCAAACCAAATATGCTTGCTGAACATAACGGAAAAAAGCAAGTCAACTTTTAAATTTAATCTACTATGCATATATTTAATTCTTTTACATAATTATCAAAATTGTTATCTTTAATTTAAAATAAGAATTATTTCTAATATAATATCACTAATATTAAACTTTAAAATAAACTTTTTCTTCCAAGAAAAAAAAAACTAACTTTCCCGTAGACTTTATCAATTCATACAAAATTGGAAAAAAGTAATAGAGATATAGTGATAAATAAAATTTCAGAAGTAAATTTCTTACCTTAGTTTATTTTATTAACTAAGTAAAATAAAGTTTTAATTTTAGAAATGATCAACATTCAAAATAGTAAATGAAAACTAAATATTCAGTGCATTCCTTACTTAACATTAATAGCAACTTTACAACTGTTTCTTAAATAATTATTTTAAAAACCACCATGTTTTGTACATTTATTTTGACCTCAAGTGTTTCTTTTTTATACCTTAGAAACAAATTCCTTATGAGCATTGTAAGCATTTTAAATTTAACTTTTCAACATAATTAATAAACCAAAAAATAAGTACATTTTTATCTAATGCCATTTATTACACACTTGCTATCACAGTTTTCGTATATTTATATTTCGGCCTTACTTTTTTTAATACTTTTTACACAATATTAGTTTGAAAACAATATCTCAACATCAAATAAAAACATAGTATTCAACAAAATTTAATATAACAAGAACCATGCAATTATTTATTTATTCAAACTTTTTTTTCTTCAAAAAACATCACTGTTTTTAGAAAACTTAGTCTCAACTGATTTATTTTGCACCTTTTACACAGAAATAAAGAATTTGAGACTTAATAATTGAAATTATATTAAAATGTTTCAATTGTCTCAACTTTTAACTATTGAATTTTCCTATAGCAGCAATATTTATTTTTTTCTTTTTAAAAAAGAGGCTTGAATTTTTAAATCAAAAAACTTGCTTTTTAAAGTAACTTTTTACATCATAATATATAAATTATGGTTAAAATTGTATAAGGAATATAATGTATTAATTTTATTTACATCATTGCTGTATAATATTTAAAAGTAAAAGCAGTAATGATTTAGAATTTTAAATTTGTATTTGTTTTAGTCATAAACATTATGAATTTAACAGTTTAGAAATTTTTTTTACATGGTATGATGTAAAAATTATGTGAATTTGAGCTTTGGGAAATATTTTTACATCACATAGTATGAAAATTATACAAAGTCTGTTTTTTATAAAATATATTTTTACACCATGTGATATAAAAAATATTTACGCTCAAATCAAATATGCTTAGTTATAGTGTGATTGGGCATTGCATTGCAATATCTTTTGTGTAATCAGGCAAAATTGTGCAATAATTTATTTATTATTTTTTTTAATGAAAAAACAGTTTTGTAGAAACTACTTCATATAAAAAATTAATTTGTGAGATTTCATAAAGAAATCTATAAAACTCGACATGTTCAACATGAAAACCTTCAAAATACTTGTGAACTAAGTTTTGATACATTATAAATACATCCCCATCTATTGTCTTTTGATTACAAATATGATTTCAATAGCCATAGACCTCAGAATAATTGCAATATTAATGGAGACATCTCTTAAGAACCATTAAAAATACGTTTGTAAAATATAGAATTTTATACATTTTCAGAAAAATGAGAAGTAAATATATTAAGGCATTAAATGATATGAATCAAGACAGAGTTTTATAAATATTTCTACATAACGTACATTAAAGACATCAATCTGTAAACAAAATAAATGTAAATTATGTATAATCTAAAAATAAAGTAAATGCAAGTAAATATAACTCACTCTCCAATTTTTTGAATATCACCTCCCTTGCCAGTATATAATGTTAAACAGTTTTTCCACAAAGAGGCATACCTAAATAAAATAGAAATGACAATATAAAATAACTCTACTCTGGCTTTCAAGAAGAATGCATATCTGAATAAACCTATAAATTATGATAGGGCTATTAACATCAACGATTTTTCATTCTTCAAAACTATTTTTAACAAAATGGGATAGATTGAATGGAAAATACCTTTAAAATATTACTAAAACATGTACTATTATAAAAAAGAAATAAGATATCTTCAATTGATCTCATAACGTTCATTTATAAGAACAACTTTGAAGATATTTTCCCAAACTTATGGATAATTTAAAGACTTTTGTTAACAATCCCATTATCTGCAGCAAGTGGTGACCGTTCTTTGAGCAAATTAAAAACAGTAGTTAAGGTCTACAATGACATTAGAAAGATTTAATCACTTGCAATAATTTCTATCAAAAATAGAGTTTTAAAATGTTTGCGTCGGCTAAAGAACAGAAATTTTTTTGTTGATGTTTATGCTTCCATATTTGTATGTCATAAGAGATATACTCATTAAAAATATTACTTATGATAGATATTTATTCTAGAATACTTGAGGTGAAATTCAGACTTGGAAAAACGGAAAACTTTCTGCGGACACAAAATCTAAATTAAAAAACTTTCTGCATGCATTGATTAACCTTGGTAGCTAATTTAAATCCTTTTGTTGCCATCTCACTTTGGTGAAATTTGTATAAAAATCACGGATTTTTTAAAGAAATGGATAATTTTTATAGAACTCTAAATTGATTGATGCCACAGAAATGAGTTTGTTTCAGAAATCCAAAAATTTTATGAGCAAAAACACCTTTTAAATAATTGAAAATATACCAGAAATTTGAGCAAGAAAAAAGTACATAGGAAGCATTCATATACAGAATGTTATCAACGGTATAAAATATATAGATACGAATACTTTATTTAAATCGCCTGAACATGAATCTCAAAGTAGGAATTTCAAATCATGCAAATACAAATTGCGGGAATACGAATTCTGATATGTTATTTTAAAATCTCGCGAAATTTAAATTCCGATGTTTTATTTTTATGTCACTTGAACCCTAATCATAATAGGGGTTTTCAAATTGCGTGAATACGAAACGCGATAGTTGATATAAAACCTTATATAAATAATGTTATAATAATAAGTTGATATAAAATAACCTGAATATTTTAACATTAGCACAAAGGTTATAACAATATTTTTCATTGGACTAGATTTATGAAAACACAAAATTTTTTAATGCAATACTGAATAATAAAATCATCCTGCCTATATCTAAGTGTATACTATTTCAGTTTAATCTGTGACTCATTTCAATTAAGTAATTGGGCAGTAATTGAGCATTATTTTAACTTAAAAATAAGTGAAATAAAATATTTTCTATGAACTTTAACATCACTGATTTCATCCGAAAAGAAATGTTGATTCACTGTTAAAAGTTGAATAATAATTTCTTCAGCAATTTTAGTGATAAATAAACAGTTTGAACTTTTAAAAATATTTTTTCCATTTTGTACACATTATCAAAACCATAAATTTAATTCACAAAATTTTTACTAATAATATACAAAGGATGTTCATACTATATAAGTGATATCAAAACTAAAAGAGCATTGAAATAGCCTTAGCGGATGGAGGCAGCATATTTCCATTCAGCACACGTGACGCCATAACCAATCAGAGATCGTTTTTCATTGCATCACTTACAGAGGCTATTTGGGGCGATTTAAACGTTTAATAATTAAATAAATAAATGTTGAGACACACGTTGAAATTATTTATGAAACAGCCAGATATTTGGCTTCAGGACAGAATGTCCGATAAGTTAGAATTGAAAATAAATATATTTTTTTTTAAGAGATGCTGTAATTGCCCATTAATTTTAAGGCATCGATTTCAGTATTGTGAATACATCTTCCGCCGGCACAGTAGTAAAAGTCTCAATCATGTTCATAACTTGAAATAACATTTAATAGACAGTCAAATATGGTCTTTTAAAAACCATACTAGCTTATAAAAATTGAAAAATAAAAAGTATTTTTTAAATTAAAATTTTTTTTTAAAGTTTTAGTCATTTTCAGAAAAATTTTGATGAAAAAATTATAAAACATTTGCCAATATTCAAGTGCTAATATGAATAGAAGCAGCATGCTACACTTAAACCAATTAGCAGTTTTAACTTAATAGGTTTATTAGAAGCCGAGAAATCTTGGGCAAAAAAACTGATTATCAAATTACTAAAGGGGAAAAAAACTGAGAACAGATTTAAAGACAAAATTTTGAATAAATAACTTTAAACAAAATTTAAGTTAGCAAACAATTCAAATTTCTAAAATGTGTGTCTATGTTCTGTTTGCAGTGAGTGGGTTCCATTATTTTCGCTGTAACTTTGGAAGTTTGAGTATTATCTTAATAAATGGAGTCAAATTGCTCAGAATAAAACAAGCTATACCTTATTTTTTCAGAAGTTCGAAAAAAACCCTTTAGAACCTTTAAGCAATGAGAAATTATTTATGAAACAATCACTAAGTATTTCTCATCAAAATATAAAATCCAGAAAATTTTATATGATTTAAAATTTTTTTTATAGATATCTTACATTCAACTAATTGATTTTTTAAACATTTTGTATAATTTTAAGAACTATTATACAAGCATATACCCTAATTCAACCACTTGTTTGATAATCATCAGGTATTATAAATTGTGCAAAGAATTGTCCTGCTTTTCAGTAAAAAAAAAAAGAGGTTGAACATTTTAGGAAGGTAAATAACCTGGGCCTTAAGTATTATCTATGAACAGTGATTACGAAATAATTTTTTAGTATCTTAACAATATAAGAATGATCATTAAGAAAGTATAAATTCAATAAATTTAAAATAGCAGTAACAAAAAATTTAAATTAATAATTTATATAAATATACCAACATAAAGTGAATAAGCCTTTAATTATTTGTAAAACTGGGTTGAGGCACAATCTGCAAATGGGTATAAAAGAAATAAATATTTTACTATGTTCAAGAATTCTCCTTAATTTTTATGTTAACTGTTATTTTAAAAAACAGGATTTACATTTCGATATATCTCAAATCATCACTAATTTAATACACACTTCTTTTATTACATTATGTCAATTACATCAGTTCCTGAAATTCTTGATGGTCTAACTTTAAAAGAAAAATTAGTATGTTATGGTGCAAATAGTACCATAGTCATAAAGCAGTATCCCTAGCAACCATTTTACATTGTCCCCATTATCCCTAGCAACCATTTTACATGTTGGGCTCAAACCTTGCTCAATATTGGTCCATATGAACATGTACCGAGGGACCAATATTGATACCAGATGTCTAAGTTTTCATTATCGGGCCCTGTGGCAGAATTTTTTCGGACTTTCTGTTACTAAGTCACAACTTCCCGAGCATTAATAATATATTTTTCTTTAAGGTACTNATATTGTTTGATAAACAATTTCTTTCTTGATTTGTAGTTTGAAATCACTTTGTTATTGTTTATTTCTTATTTCACCTTTTGCTTTTAAATTATTAAGAAATATTTTGTTGATAATGGTTAGTAATGTTTATTTCCAATGTATACCATAAGTAACAATAGTAATACAATTCAACTTTAAATCTATGGTACACAAAATTGATTATATTCCATAGAATTGAAATTATAAAAAAATCATGATTAAAATTAAAAAAATCCGATTTTTTTGATTTTTTTAAAAAAATTATGATTTTTATACACCCTGATTCTAATATTATAGACACTTTCTCACATTTTGTATTTGGAAAAAAGCCCTAATTATTTCCCCTTCCTAATTTTGTAAATCATTACAAAATTTAAAATTCATAAATAAATTAATTGATAATAAACTAAAATTTCAGTGACGACAACACAATAAAAAAGATACTACTTTTAAGACCCAGTGGAAGAAGAAAGCGGGGAAGGCCGCGGTTGAGATGGGCTGACTCAGTGGAGTCTGATTTTCCTGCAATTAATGAAAAGAATTCAAGATCAAAGATAAATCGGAAGTCGTCATGGAGAAATCTTCAGAGGAAGGCTTTGGCTCACACTGGGTTGTCTGGCCAACTATGATGATGATGAAAATTTGTACAAAAATTAAAAATCGCAAAATCCATGTAGTAATTTCAAAATAAAGATAGACGACAAAATTAAGCAAATAGGACTAAAATCTTTCTGCAAAAACTCTAACATTCTGTGACAATGTTGCCACGTCGTTGCAATTCTGCCACGGGGTTATCAGGGTGCGCAGCCAAATGAGAGAAATGAAATTTTCTATCGCTAATAGAGAAAAAAATTGACAATGTTTAGTTGGTCCCCATAATCATCAGATTTTTTGATTCTATTTATCACAGGGTGGAAAATGAAGTTTGAAGTTGAGAATCTCTTGCAAAATGCAGCAGGGTTGCACATGAGAGTAAAAAATACTTACCTCTGAATCTAGCTCAGTATACGCAAGTGCGGAACTACAAGTATTTCATCAAACATATAAAACAAATGGTGTTTTCATACACTACAGACGGGCGGTATGCCGAAATAGATGGGGGTTGAATTAATTGTGAAAACGTTGAATAGGACAATGACTTTTTGCATCATTTGCGGAGAAAATCAACACGGTAAAGAAAAATATCACATTTCGGAAGAGGGAAAATTAAGCACTTTCCAAAAACACCCATGGAAAAAAGCACCTTTAAGGGCTTTTAAAACACGAAAATTGAAAATAAGCATCTTTAAGCACTTTTTAAAAACGCTATGCACTCTGATTACAGGTCGTATATAGGACCAATATTGGCTGACTAATAAATATAAAATATTGGGTGAATCTGACAATTCTATATAGGGACGATATTGGTTGTAAAATATCTGAGTGAATGAAACAATTCTTTATAGGGCCAAAATCGGATAATAATGGCCTTTTGAACCCTTATTGAGACAAGATTTGTGAATATTGGTTCAATAAGGGCCCAAGTCATTTTGCTGCTAGGGATGTAACTTTAACATTACTAAAAATCAATTTTTTCACAAAAATCTAATAGATCTAAGAGTTACAATTTGATGTTGTGAGTGCCGGGACAGCCTGGTCGGTAGGGCACTAGGCCTACGCCCAAGCGGGCATGGGTTCGATCCCCATCGGCCAAAGACACCCAGTGTAGTAAATGGTGGCTGATGCACGCTAAATCTGCTAAGTCACAAAGTCCTACATGTTCCCATAACAAATCATACCTCTGGGGGTACTATCCAGGAGTTTCCCTGTCTTCCGGATTGGTTCAAAATTTCAGGGCTACGGAGTTGAACATCAGTAGTTGTAAACCCAAAATTGGGTCAGCTGTTCAAGGAGAGTTATAAAATCTGATATTGTGAGAAATGGTACTTTATATGGTCATTACTTAAAAAACTAGGCAAGTTTACAAAATTATAGGCTTCCTTTTAAATAACATATTCACTAACAAAAATAATGAGACAAAATTATAGAAGTATAATGAGATGATATTCTTACCCTTTACTTAACCTACAGATATCACCTTGCTGTAAATAAAGTCCAGGTTCGTCCCAAACTGATAAATTTATGCTAGCAGACCTATCAGCTATTTTACATGTTCTAACCTCATGTCCTTCTTTTGTCATATTTGGTCGACCTATATAGAAAGAAAGTTATGCTTGATATTAGTTAACTTGCATTATCTCTGCAAAAGCTTTTATCTTTTCAGATATTGCAGTTAGATTTCTTTGCAATCGTAATTGCAAAATATTTAATTAATGCAAATATCTTCTTGACAATGCACAAAACAGCTTTCAAGTAGAAAATGAAAACTTATCAACCGAATACACCGGCATTGTAAATTTGAAAAATTAAAGAAATTAAGTTTAAAAGTAAGTTGTCCAAGTGTATTGACTGAGTTTATGTTGGATTTTTATAACTATTTTCAACTGTCCAGTGACATTTAAGGCCGGGCATGCAATGTCTCAGATGGAACAAAAACAAGCTTTTAGACCTATTTTCCCAGCCTTTCTTAGGCACTAGGTCCCAATGAAAAAAAAACTATGAATCTCACAGATTGATCTTCATATTACATGGTGACTTTCCATACAAGGTAAAATCCTAAACTTCAAAAGTGTAGTTAATATTACAAGACCTTTTCAGATTGAGGATATCAGAAAATTGTACTCTCTAACCAGTTTTTAGGCATGGCGCAAATCAAAAATAAGATGCTGGTGATTAATTGGTCAAGTTAAAAAAAAAAAAAGTTTTTGTTCTTAAAATCTTACAATACTCATTGCCATTAAAATATTTTTTAAAAAAATTACAGTTAACACATGAAGCTACCTACCCTTGGTATCGAAAAACTTAACACCAAATCTTTATTTGTTGATGTATAAAATAAGCATTATCTTATTTTGCTTGCTATTAGATATTGAGTAGTGTGTGTGTATATATATATCAGATTTTGAAAGATAATATGGCAGCAAACAATCTATTGCTCTCAAAAAAATCTTACAAGGTTGTTCTCTATACATTAGTAGCCTTTCATACCAGTTTTGAAATGCTGCCCATCAAGATGCTTCTTTAGGGAGCCAAATAAATGGAAACTAAAATCAATATGGAAATTGATCAATTATTTTTTAATTAAAAGATCAGTGGTGCATTCAAAGATACATAGAGTCAAATTACATCAAACACTTCCTCCATGAAGTATTATGATTCTTATCGGCAGCTCTCTCTCTCTCTTTTTTTTTTTTTTGTTNTTTTTTTTTTTTTTGAGTAAGCAACCACACTTTTGTCACCTTCTTACCAGAAATTTAAATAGAAAAAGGTTTCTTGGCAAAAAATGAAGGCTTAAACACTAATTCGGCTTTTTTTTAATGGGCTTGAAAAAACAAACAAGACTAAGTCTCCATAAACATTTTAAAGTTAGAATTGACTTTAAGGTTATTCTCATTACATAAGATTTGTGCATACCATTGCATACAAATAAAATTCATACAGACATGAGGAATTTCACTCATGTAGTTCTTAAACACTTTTATTTGAATCTGAAGAAGCCTTCACAGTGAGAATGGCCTTTTACAAAAGGTAGGTAATTTAAGGGGCATTCAAATATTATGTACTAAGTAAATATATTAAGAGTGATTTTGCACTCTTCTCTCCCCAACCTGACTGGGGAAAAACATAACCACTAAATGCGTAAAAATTCAGATTTTTGTCAGTAAAGGGAATTGACTGCCATACAAAAAACGTCTTAACTATCACTTCTTCCATTAGAGACTTTCATAATATTGTAATGTCACTTTCCACCTTAATACAATATGCTATCAGAAATAAAATTTATTAACAAATAATAATAATTAAAATAATCAACATTCAAAATTCAGACACTTTTCACTGTAAAACAATCTCATTAAAAATTAAGTCTAATTGCTCAGAATTTTATCTCTAATAATTATTTTTGATAAAAGTCTGAAATGTGACGATTTTAAAAAAAACACTAATTTAAAAAGTAATAAAATAAAATGAAATTAACATAAAAGTTTAGTAAAAGTACAATTGCAAAAAATATGACAAATTTACAAGAAATAGCAGAAAACAAATAACAAAACACAAATGAATAAAAATTAAAAAAATTAACATACACACAAGAAACAAAAACAGACTTGAGACTTGTACACATAAAATTTTAAGTCATATTAATTTGACCAATATTTAAAAAACATGAAACACAGTTATGAAAAAAAAAAGTTGCAAGAATGGAGTTTTCAAAAATGAAGTCTCAAAAATGTCAATTTACAAACTTCCTTAAAAATTTTGTTGTAAAGTTGGGTAATCTCATATCAAATCAAAAAAAATTTTTTTTTAGGTGGGTGAACAATTTTGATTGTAATCATTTTATCTGAGATGAAAAATACCGAAGTCCAGACTTTTTTTAAAATTATTTTCTTCTAAGTTATGCTATTTTGAAAATTGATATATTTTTTTTTTAAGTTAAATTTTTAAACAGTTATAAGTTGAGAATTAAAAAATGTAAAAAGTCAATATTTTTTAAATTTTTTTTTTTTTTAGTTTTAATGGAGTTTCAAAATATATAACATAAGTATAAACTTTTCTTTAAATAAAATAATTTTTATAAAGTTTAAAATTGAAATTTGATATTTCACTGTAAAAAAACATATTTATTTATTTACCTACTTTTTAATATCAAATTTTAGGATGGTATTCCAATGAGATCATGGAGAAAAAATAATTTCCAGTATTAATGACAAATCATGCAGCAAAAACACATGTGCTATATCAAGAACAATTTTGGTGGAAAAGTGGCATATTTATGCTGCCACATGATTTCTGTCAATGTTTAACAAGAAAATTTTCATTTTATGAATGCACCGGAACCCTACTTCAAAATTTGGCACATAAAAAAAATTTAAATATTTTTTTTCTTCAAAAAATTAATTTTAAAGTATAAATTTTTTGTAAAAAATTTTTTTCTCCATAACTTAGCAATGTTATAATAATTAAAAAAATTTCATTAAAAACTGTACAAAATGACAAAATTTAGCTCTCTAGATCAGCAATTCCCAAATAAGTGTTCTGAGGGAACCCTCGGGTTCCACGAAGAGGTCACAAGGGCTTTGAGAGTTGGACCAACATTACCAGTTACAAAACCATGTAATAAAATTTATATCTAATTTTTTCCATTAGTTATTTAATATAGATCAGATATTTATTCTTAACATTTATTTTTGTCCTTTTTAATTTTTATTTAAACTAAAGCTGCATTTCTGCTCACTCATTTTCATTATTCATACAATAAAACCAAATTATGAACTAGATTAGATGCCATTTTAGACCTTTCAACTGCTGACAAAAAACCTAATTTTAGGACTAGTATTGTAAAACTACATGGTGAAAATTTTTTTTCCATTAAATATTTTTATTACATTATATTTAAAATTAATAAAAAATTATAACTTATTAGATATTCTCAAAATAAATAATGGTCATTAGTACATTAATATTTTTAACAATTACTTCCACTAAAAGAAGGTTGACCATTTTTCGGTTTCGTTGCCGCAAAAAATTTAAATTGCTGCTCTAGGTCATTGAGTTCTCAAGTTATAGCTATTTAAAAATTTAAAACATAAAAAATTTGGAAATTTTCAAAACTTTTACAACATCTGGAAGAAATCTATCTTTAAGAAAGAAATTTGAATTTATCTTCAAGAACATCTTAAAGAAATGGGTTAAAAAAATTTGAAACTTGATATTTTTCATCCATTTTGTGAGACATACAAGGACCTGACATTTTGAAATTAGTTGATTTGGTATTGTCTTGCAATATGAAATTTGAGTAAATTACAAGTGATTATCAATTTTTTTTTCGTAGATTCGTATTACTATAATATTAAGTAAAAATAGTAAGATCTATTGAAAAATTATTTTGTTTAAAATGTGCTATTTGTGTTTAGCATTTCTTTATATTCATTCACACTACACATCAGTGTTAGTAAAGAGTAAACAAAGTTTTTTTCAAAAGGGGAAGAAAAAAAACAAGGAACCAGTTTTTTCAATATTTATTAAGACTGTCACATATTTTAAGCCCCAAATCTAAAATTAGTAACTGGAAACATTTTTCAAATTATATAAATTACTTAAAATTTATAAATAATTAATTATTATTTATAATTAATTAATTCATTAATTATTATTTATAATTAATAAATATATTAATTATAATTAATTAATTAATTAATTATTATTATTCATAATTAATTTATAACACATTTTAAGGTTTTCAATAAATTCAAAAATATCCACTCTCGTTTCCTAAATTAAAATAAGCTTAATATGATAAAAAAGAATTATAACAGAATATTTTAAATATGCTTACAAATCACATTAAAATCCACTTAAGCTGCAAATAAACGCTTAACATCTAAAGCGGAGTTTGGAAATTATCAGCGATCCAAGATCACAAAATTTTTACTTGGATCACAATAAGATAATTAAATTATCAGGAGTACCCTGGATTAGCAAGTGATGTTATATTCTGTTTTGATTTTCAATTTCTTGTTTTTGACAGTTTTTACCTCACTACGGCATATTTCAACATGACTAAGACAATACACATTCTTTGTATTCAAATTATTTTTTTTTCTCCAACTTTCTTGAAAAGAAAAAAAAAAATTGGTAAAAAAGCATAACGATTAACTAACTTAAACAAAACAAAGTAATAAATTTTTTCTTTAGAATAATGGAGCTGGATTGACCAACAGCAGTTTGATAATATAATAAGTTATTTGTATATTACTGAAAATGATATTTGCTTCTTGATTTTTTTTTATTATTTTAAGCGGCACAATTATGTATACACATAATTTAATACTTTGTTACATAATAAATACAGTACAGAACCCGTTATCCGGAAATCAGAAAACCGGAACGAAATTCGATAAATTTTCTCGCCATTTTTTAAACAAATTTTTTTTTTCCTTATAAGATTTTAGGATTTTTCTTTCTTTTTTGAAAGATGTTCACCTTACCATCATTTTGGAAATAATCATTAGTGTATTACTTCATCGTTTTTTCTTCTTTTTAAGATTATTTCCAAATATT